CACACCCACGCCAAGTACATCGGCTCACGCTCCAGCTCACACTCCACCACACATGCCTGGTACATCTGCTTACACTCCACCACACATGCCTTGTACATCTGCTCACACTCCACCACACATGCCTGGTACATCTGCTCACACTCCACCACACATGCCTGGTACATCTGCTCACACTCCACCACACATGCCTTGTACATCTGCTCACGCTCCAGCTCACACTCCACCACACATGCCTACCACCTCAATGACAGCTTCATTCACATGTACCTCTTCATCCTGCACCCCGTCCACTTCACAGACAAAGAGACAGGAAACACTTAACAACCTTAGAGTCTTGGAGTCATTTTTGACTCCTGAGCTCAAGATTAAATACGAACAAAGATTTGAGGAGAAATTTGACATCACAGATGATGTGATGTACACCTCATGGAAGAAATGCAAAGAATATCTCTCCCAATTTAAAATGCCACATCACACCCCTTCTACTTCTACAAATAACTCTGATCAACATACTCCAACAGACACTGTAACAAAATCAACATCTACACCAACACCTTTACCAATGGATATAGACACATACATAAAAACAAAAATTCCCCAAGTTGAACCACCAGCCAGAAAAAGGCTACTTATGAATGTAGTTCCAAACATGGCACTCACAAGTATTGAATGTGTGGAGTATTTTGAAAGAAGGGAGAATGACAAAAAAGAAGCTGATCATAAGAAAGAAGAAAGATTGAAGAAAAGAGAACAGAAAAAAGTTGAAACAGAAGAAAAGAAAAGAAAGGCAGAAGAAAAAAAGAAGCAAAGAGTAGTGGGGAACAAAGGGAAGAATGGTCCAGGCGGAAAGAAAGGAAAGGGACGACGAGTGAAAGGTGTTGAAAGAGAGGAGGAGGATATGAACGTGAGAATGGATTTGGATGATTCAGATGATGATGATGATGTTTCTTTACCTGTGATTGTGAATGAGAATGTGTGTTTTTGTTGTGAGGGTAAGTACAAGAGGTCTGAAAGTAAAGATTGGGCGGGGTGCAACAAGTGCCTTAGGTGGTACCATAAGAGGTGTGTGGCAAGTATTGATTTATTAGTGTTGGATGACGAGCAGTTGGAAGCGCTTGATTTCGTGTGTGATGCATGCTTGTGTGGATTTTAGTTTTAGATATTATATTGTTATTGGTCATATTGTGTAATAAATTAGTATAATGATGAGTAGCCTAGTTGTAAGCCCTGACTTTGTATGCATGCCTGTTTGCCATGATGATGAACTGAATTCGTATTGAATTAATATTTGAGTTTTTGTTTCTTCTAAATGACTAGATCTAAACTTGTTGAATTTTTTTTCAGTAAACATTCCCTGATTCCTTGAACTTTTCAATTCATTTGTTCTTCAAATATATAACTTTCAATTTGTGAAGCCTCTAGATCTAGAACTAGATTCTAGATCTAGATTTAGTAGATTTTAGTAGAGCATTTGATATGGAGTGTCCTCGTACACGGTAACCGCGCAGTTCAGAACTCCCAAGTCCAAGCTCAGTTTTCGTCATCCGGTGTTGCCTTCATCCCCACCCCTCCCCCGACAGTAACTTTTAAAAAATATCAATAATCCCCCCATTCCGGAGCCCTATACTTCGCAGCGCACAGACTTTGAATGAACTTTGGTGACCCCAACCAG